TCTGTTTTATGGCTTAGTAATATTTCATTTTATATGTGTTCTGCAACTTATTTTAAAATCAGTAACTTATTTTTCAAGATTCATCCAGTTATACTTCAAATAATTTCTTAGTCCTTTTGAGTTTTTTAAGAGCATTATATACATCAACATTTTTTCTACATTGAATTTTCTGTATCATTTTGCTTAAATCATTAATTTTACTTGAAGCATCATGCCAAGTCAGTACTAAGCTAATGAATTTAGACATGTTTGAAAGTAGAACTTTGGCTAATATTTTAGGATCCATATTCTTTATTAATATAATCATAAAAAGATTGTTGCATACTGTTGTAACTGAGTGTTTACTGGCACGCTAATATCAATTCAATTTTTCTGTCACATGTTTAAAAGTGGTTTCAAATTTATATTCAGTGTTTTTCAATACACCCAAATGTCTAATTGAAACTGAAAAGCAGTCATACAGATTCTGGAAGATACTTTTTAAATTTGAATTTCTTTTTGCCCCTTTACCTCTCATCTTTCCTTCCATGTCTGGCCCCAGGCAACCACTGATCTGCTGTCACTATATCTTAGTTTGCATTTTTTAGAATTTTTTATAGAACTAGAGATCCGATGCATGAAATTTGTGCAAGGGGAGGGTCCCTCAGCCCAGTCTGCACCCTCTCACAGTCCAGGACCTCTTGGGGGATGTCTGACTGATGGCTTAGGTGTGCCCCCATCAGTTGGAGATCCTTAGTACTGCCACTGAGGTGGGAGTGGCTCCTGCCACTGCTGCTGCACTGGCCAGCCATGAGTCGGCTTCTGGCTGAGCAGTGCTCCCCCTGTGGAAGCACATTGACCATCAGGGGGCAGCTCCTGCATTGAACATCTGCCCCCTGATGGTCAGTCCGAGTCATAGCGACGGTCTTTCCTGGTAGTTCCACCATTAGGATCAATTTACATATTACCCTTTTATTACATAGGATTATACAGTATGTATTCTTTTGTTTTCAGCTTCTGTTGCTCAGTATAATGGAAGTATAAAAAGAAGTACAGCTCTAACCAGTTTGGCTCAGTGGATAGAGTTTCAGCCTATGAACTGATGGGTCCTGGGTTTGATTCTGGTCAAGGACATATGCCAGGGCTGCAGGCTCAATCTCCAGTATGGGGCATGCAGGAGGCAGCCGGTAAATGATTCTCTCTCTCGTCATTGATTATTTCTATCTCTCTCTCTCCCTCTCCCTTCCTCTTTGAAACCAATAAAAAAAAATTTTTTTTAAAAGAAAAGAAAAGGATGAGATCAGGGCTTCAAATTTCCAGCTCAAGCTACGCATAGATGACCTGAAAGCTTCTATTTCGATTTTGAAAGAAACCTTTAGTGCTGTGATTTCTGAAAACAAAACCCAGAGCCTCATTCTGCAAATGGCTAATAAGGATTATATTTCAACTCTTTGGCAGGCCCCTGTAGGTGAGTAACAGTGCAGACACTTAAGATTTTGGAGCAAAGCCCTGCCATTCTCTGTGATAACTAATCTCCTTTTGAGAAATAGCCTTTGGCTTGCTACCGAACCTTAGTAGATACTGAAGTCTTAACCACACGTCCGTCCTCAAGTTACCAGGTGACCTGAGCTACCCATCGTGAACTGAGTGTTGTCTAGTCTACCAGGCTATAAGGTTGTGCGAGCACAGCAGCACTCCGTTATCAACGAAACTGTCTTTATGAGACTGGGCTTGAGAGGGCCCTGAAGGCACAAGTTATGAGGAAGTGGGCCAAATGCCCATGGCACCTACTGCTATTTTATCGTCTCTCTTTCTCTCACTCAGACTACAATCTCATGGGGTATTCCCTCTGACTGGGGAAGAGAAAAAACCCAGTCTTGGTTATTAATAGTGTGATTTATGATGTTTCTACACAATATGCGGGCACTGAGTGAAAACAAACTGTTGCAGCACTATTGCCCCTTTCTGGGATTTCCTTGAAGAAAAATAGGAAAATGGGATGGGAGATGGGGATATCCAAAGAAAAGGACTACACACATTGAGCGAAAGGGTGTTATAGCCATGATGGCAGCAAAAATGTACTTAGGACTGTGAAACAAGGAAGGGCATAGAAGAAGCAACAAAGAAACCTAGGCTGGGCTGCTTTGACTTACTGAGAAGTCAGAGAAAAGGGTCCTTGGAGACAGGTTCAGGGGGTTAGCCCGGGACAAGCTGCTGCTGCCCATTGTTCCCCTGGTTGCAAGTCTCATAGAGGTTGGGGGATACGTGCCTGTGGGGGAATGGCAAAAGTATGCTCCTTGGAGGAAGAGCATACCCTGTATTCTTTGTCCTGAGCATATTTAACTCTTTCTTGCAGGTGAAATCTTAGGGGAGATTTCAGGGGAGGTTCTTAATAGAATATTCATCAGCTTTCCCAGTGTGCTCTTTTAGGGTCATGGTCTCCACTGATTGGTCAGTGCCTTTAGTCAATGTAATAGGTCCTGAGGCAACCACTGTGTTACTTGTCCGGTTTTTCTGCTTTTCTGGAGCTGAAATACAATTGAAGCCTAGATGTTATCTTTAGGGAGGAAAAGGTCAGGGGGTCTAAACCAAACCACATGACCAGTGATATGCTAGCAGCTAGGGGAAGATAGGTTCTTGTTTTCTCAATTTTGCCCCTTGCTAGTCATCTGGAACTTTCTGCCCTGGTGAGCTTCTGTACCTGGCCCATTGTCCTTGCTCTGCTCATGTCTAGCAAATTTCTTCTGATTTAGTGGTCCAGGAAATAAGCCACACAATAAGAGCTGGGGAAGTATTCTCTCTCTTCTATTTTCTGTAAGAGCACATGTAAGATTAGAATTCATTGTTCCTTGAATGTTTGGAAAAACGCCTGCCAAATAATCTAGATTATATGTATCTTTTATTAGAAGAATTAAAAATACCAATTCAGTTTCTTCATTGGCTAACTAGAGGCCTGGTGCACAAAATTCTTGCAAGGGTAGGGTCCCTAGGCTTGGCTGGTGATCAGGGTCTATCTGCGGAGCAACCAGCGGGCAGTTGAGGGTCTCCTAATGTTGGAGATGAGACCTGGAAGCATTCAGCAGTGTAGTGAGCAGGGCTTTATTACTTCTTTATTACTTCTGAATTATTTCTGAATAAACTGGTCCTGTGGCTATTGGGGAAGGGGAGGCTGACTTTGGTTTCTTTGATTCTTGGCTACTGCAGTTCAGCAAAGGATATGTAACGTCAGGGATCCTGTTAAGTGAGCTGTCAGAGTGGCCCGGACTGTGGTTGGAGTCTGGCTGAGGGTTTGATCACGCTGGTCACGTGCCCCTCCAGTCTTTCTGACATACGGAAAGTATTAATACACCTGGGCTACTATCAGAGCTACACCAGCCAGGATTCCAATCACGACGCCGGCAATAGCCTCATCTGAGAGGCCAGGACTTTGTAGTGTTGAGTCATATTGTACGTCCAGCCTGAGAGGGCCACTTTTCCTGGAACTGATAGGGTTGAAAACCTCACCCTGAAAATCCCCAGCATCCTCCCTCCTGGCGGGGTCTATGGTGAGGATGTTGTTGCCCTGGGACAGCTTCACCCTGTCCATGAGCAGGAGACTCTGGCTCTTGAAGAGCCACCGGATGAAGATCCCAGTGTCATCTATGAGACAGGTCCGGACCAGGGCGTCCTTATGCTGTGACTGTGGCATTGCTGGCTTGGATGGAGGGCTTTATACATGGAGCTGTCCAATTACTTGTTTGCTCCAAAAATCTTTCTCTAGGGCTTGTAGGGTGTAGTATTCTATATCCTTCAGGGTGACTTTCTGGAACAGCAGGGACCCATTGAGATACATTGTCTCTTGATTGTTTTTTGGAGACCCGGGGGTAATTTTTGGAGTGTCTATCACATGTGATACAATTAGAAGGTTGTTGTCTGTCTATACATTCCCCTTTGTATCAGATATAGCCTGCTAGATTCCCAGGAAGACTGGACAAGAAGCAGCACATCCTCCCCTTTAGCAGCATTGGACCTGCCCTGATTCAACAGTGAGTTGGGCAGTCGTGGGCAGGCTCCAGAAGGTTAAGAGTGAGTCGGCCATTAGGAGCCCCTGCCAGGGGATGCACCCTCTTGTCAGCAGGGCCTGAAGGGGACTCCATGGTGTCTGCTGTCTGTTCTGTCCCTTCCTCTGTGAGAAGAACCTGAGATCCAGAAACACTCACAGGCACTGCTCTTCTGACTGGTGGACTGATTATTATTATTATTATTTAAAACATTTCCTTTCTCCACCAGATCTAACTTCAGGAGATCATGTATTCTGTTTGATCCTCACATTGTACTCGCAGCAACTCGGGAACAGGGCCTAGTACAGGGAGGAGGCCTCAATACCTAAGTGATGAATACATACATGAATTAGGGAAATTAAATAATAAAGGGTTAGGCTGATGGCTGCTTGTGGGTCCCTTCAGTGGTAATGCCAGACGAGAAACAGGAACGGCCTTTGCCCTTTTCCTAGCAGTAGACCAAAACCCGCCAAATGGGAGGAGAAGGAAGAAGGCGGCGTTTGGATGCCAGGTAGAAAGAACAGGTGTATGACTCAGAGAGGCGGCCAGAAATCCGCTCACATCTGCATTGCTTGGGGGCCTCTCTCCCCAGAAAGAGGGACCAAAGCAGAGGGGAGCTCGGTTCTGGGAGCTTCGGCCGGGAGGAGTCCACCTGCAGCAGCTCAGCTACACCTGCAGCGTGGGCCCAGCTCAACCGCCCGGCGAGCGCGTGGGTGGGTGCGCGGCCGGGGGGCGGGGCCATGTGACCGGGGGGGCGGGGCCACGTGGGAGTGCGCCGGGGGGGGGGGCTGTTCCCACCCCCCGCTGCGTGCGCGCGCCCCGCCGCTGCCTCGCGCGTGCGCGCCGCGGGCCGGGGGCGGAGGTTGTGGGCGGTGACGGCGGGCGCACGCGCTCTCGCCTCCTCGAGCCGGCTCGCGCTCCCGCGCAGGGACCCGAGCGCCCGGTGGCGGCTGCGGCGGCGGCTGGGGCGGCTGAGGCGGCGTGGGGGGAGGGTCGGGAGGGGGGTTGGCCGGGGGGGATGGACCGGGCGCGGCGGCCGCAGCGGCAGGAGCCGGCGCCTGAACTCGAGCGGCCGTGCTGGCGGAGACGCCGGCTGCTCCTCCCCTCCCTGCCGGTGAGTGAGCGCCCCCGCCCCGGGTTGTGGCTGCGGCCGCGGCCCCTCATGGCCACTTCGGGTGAGAGTAGTCCGGGCAGCGTGGCCTGGCGGCGCTGCCGACGCGGGCCAGGCCTCCCCCCTCACGGCCTGGAGCGACTCGGACCCTCGGTCGCCCCCCCTCCCCCCAATCGGGGCTGAAGCCCGGGCCTAGGACTCCGACCCCCCCAACGTCCCGCCGCCGCCTGGCCTCCTTTCCCGGCTGGCCCCTCTGTCATTGTGACCCTGGATTTCTCTCACCCCCTCGCCTCGCCCCCTTCCCAGCGCTGGTGTCCGGGGCTGAGGGGCTGAGGGAAGGGAGGGGCGTGTGGAGTTGGGCCGAGGCCCGAGGGACTGTTGGGGAGCTAGTCTGGTGGCGGCGGTGGTGGTGGTGGTGTAGGTGGAGGTGGGTCTGAGGTCCTGGGAGCCCTCGCTCGCCCTCCCTGGCGTCCCCAGAAGTTGTCCACCAGGGCTCAGCCATTGCCACCTGAAACCAGTTCTGCACCTTTTGTTGTGATGTTGAACTTGTTGTCTAAGGGGGAGGAGGGAACCTGCTGTCCTGGGATCGGGAGCATAGGCAGTGTGCCCGGTGGGGAGCTAGGCTGACGGGGTTCGGGGTGCCTGTCACTAGCCTTTTTAAAAAGGGAAAATGGGCGTATCTTCCCTGAAGGGCCAGACATCCTTTACAGCTTGCAAACTCCCTCTCTAACCCTTTCATTCCCCTTTTCAGCCGTAGCAAAGCTGTGTGTAGTCTTGTCCAGCCATTTGGTTCATTCCTGAACCACGTTGATGGTGAGGGTGCCCCAGGTGGACCTGCAGCAGAGTTTCGTGAAGCAGCCCACTTGAGCTGTTGGCCAGTTCTCTCCCCCAACTCCTACCCCCCCTTTTTTTTGGTGACACCTGACACAGTAGACTTGGTAGATCCTAAGGCAATGCTTTTTGTAAGCTGACTTTTCAGCCTGACTTGTCATAAAGGAAAGGAAGATGAACACATAGACACTAATCCAAAATGGATGCTGTTAAGTCATCAGAGGTACCTGTACCACAAGCATCTCTATTGAAAGATCTGAATTCCTAAATTAGTTAAAAATTTTTTTTTAAAGTCACCCAGGGCTTAAAAAGCACTTTAATCCTCAGCCAGAACAGGTTTAAAATGAAGTGCAACTTTGATTTACTTATGTTTTCTGACCAGTATTTTAAAATTTGGAAGTGATTGGCTAACTAAATCCTTGTCTTTGAAGTACCCGTGTATAGAAATTGTTACCAAGCCCAGAGGAAAGAACCTTATGAAAATGTTAATGGTTACAGACAAGATTCCTTCAGGAGGTAGACACAGTTTTTCCTCCACTGTGTATTAGCAGAGTGAGACTCCACTGGGTGAGAAAGGTGAAGGGATAAGTACAAATTGGTAGTTACAAAATAGTCACAGGGGTGTAAAGTTCAGCATAGGGAATATAGTCAATATTGTTGTAATAACTATGGTGCCAGGTGGGTAATTGAATTATCAGGGGATCACTTTGTAATAAAACTGCTATGCTTGTATATCGGAACTAATCCTATATAATAAAAGTCTAGTATGCTAAGTGCCTGGCCCACTGGTCAGCCTTTCAACCAATCAAAACATAATATGCTAATGATATGCTAAGACCGCTCAACTGCTCGCTGTGATGTGCATTGACCACCAGAGGGCAGATGCTCTGACTGGTAGGTTAGCTTGCTGCTGGGATCCAGCTGATTGGGACTGAGAAAGATGGGCCGGGCATACCCTGGAGCCCTCCCACAGTCCCTTCCTGGTCTCAATTGTGCACCAATCGTGAACCAGTTGGGTCCCTTGGTCTGGCCTGTGCCCTCTTGCAATCTGGGACCCCTGAGGGGATATTGAAGAGCTGGTTTACGCCTGATTCCCGCCGGCCAGGCCGAGGGACCCCACCAGGATGCACCGGACCTCTAGTATAAAATAATATTGAATGTCAATTGTAATTGAAAAATAAAATTTAAAAAAGGTGAAACTTTGTGAGTAGGTGGTAGTTTTACTAGTGTCATGTAACAAAATATGACTATAGTTATGATTTTAACTTAACAATACCTTGTCCTCTACCAACAGAGTTGGCTTGTACAATATTTTTTGAAATCACACACCCACTCTCTAGTTAGTATGGAAAGATTAAAAAGCTGCTTCTGGTTAATGGGCAATAACCTTTTAATTTCTAAAGAGTTTTAAGCTGTTTACTGAGTAGTTTGCTGATCAGCATAGCAAAATTTTAGATCTTAAAAATTTATTAGTATGTGATCTAGATCTGTTATAATTATGGACATTTATTAAGATTTGACATGGTATGGGATACCCTGTACTATGTGTATGAAATTAGATTTCTCAGTATTTGCAGCTTAAGATAAACAGAAGTACAGTCAGCTGACACATGTTGTGACACCTTGAAGTAGTTGAGAGAATCTCATAAGCACCCACACACAAACTACAGTTTGATGAAGAAATCCAGTGTTCTGGATTACTTGGTGACTACCGTTACTCTAAGCTGTTTTGTACAAAAATATTTCTCCTTTTCTGTAAGAGTTTTTTATGCCTGTCTTACATGTACAAAACCTGTTTTGGCTGAGGACTTAAGTTTAAACTTCTTGATGTGGCATTTATGGATCATTCATTAATCATAAAATATTTATTGAGCTCTTATTTTGTTCCAGGATTTCTTCTAAGGACTGAGCTACAGTGAGGTAACAAAGCAGACAAAGTCCTGCCTTCATTGAGCTTTATTCTGTGTATGTCAGAATGAGGAAACAATAAGCAAATAGACAAGATAATTTCAGATAATGCTAAAAGTCAGTGATTAGCAAACTTTTTCTGTACAGGGCCAAAAAGTAAATATTTATGGGCTATATGGTTTCTGTTGCAGCTACTCAACTCTGTTATTTTAGTGTAGAAATGGTCACAGGCAGTAGTACATAAACAAACTTGTCTGTCCTACTTAAACTTGGGACACTGAAATTTGAATTGCATGTAATTTTCCCATATCACAAAATATTCCTTTTGATTTTTTTTTTTAACCATTTAAAAATGTAAAAACTATTCTTATCTCATAGGCCATACAAAATCTTTGGGCAAACTGGATTTGGCCTGTGGGCTGTAATCTGACCTTTTGTAGAAAGTTTCCTGCCCTGGCCAGTGTGGCTCAGTTGGTTGGGTGTTGTCCTGTGCACTGAAAGGTCACCGATTTGGTTCTTGGTCAAGGCAATATACACAGTTTGTGGATTTGATCCCTGGTCAGGGATCATCATACAGGAAATCAACCAGTCGATGTTTCTCCCATTGATGTTTCTCTCTCTCCCCCTCTTCTCTCTAAAATGAATAAAAATATATATGAAAAGAAAAGAAAAAGTTTTCTCCTCACTAAGGAGAAGGTATTTGATGCAAGAGTTTTCCTAGCAGAAGATCTGCAGGTGGAATTGAGCTTCTCTTATGTTCCCCTGCATTGAAGTTCTCCACATACCATGTCACTCTTGCCTTTGTGTCTTTTTACATTGTGTTGTTCTTAACTACCGTATTTTTCAGACCATAAGACGCTCCGGACCATAAGACGCACCAGTTTTTAGAGAAGGGAAATGAAGAAAAAAAGATTCTGAAACAAATAGTGTCCTAAAATATTTTATGTGCATTAAAACCCAACATCACAGTCATAACACATGTAATCAACCCTGTAAAGTAAACAGCAGCATTTAGAACCATTTTAGAGCTGGGCAAGCACACAGAGACCACACAGAGCCGGGCAAGTAAAAAAACTTTTTTTTTAAAGTATGTGTAGGCTATATTTGGACCATAAGACGCAGGGACTTTTCCCCCCCACTTCTGGGGGGAAAAAGTGCGTCTTATGGTCCGAAAAATATGGTAGGTTGTTCTCTTCCTGTCAGATATTTAAAGTCCACCCATTTATAGAATCTAAGACTTGAAAGAGATCTTAACTTCACACTCAATTGCTTTCTTAAAATGTTCTCAGTGATTTTTCAGCCTGTTTGAACACCTTTTACAACAGAAAATTCATTACTTTGAGGTAGCCTATGCTATTTTCAGATAGCTCTAATTGTTAGAGTGTTCTTCATGTTGTAATAGGATTCATCCTTTCCATGGTGCTGCCTTACACGGAGTAAGCCTGCACTGGGATTGCACCTCATCCCCAGGATTCGGTTCTAAAGTCACTGCATGAGACAAAAATCACATAAGATGAAAGCTATAGGAGAATTCCTTACATTATATAGTGTGAATGTTTTTGTATACTGTATATAATTGTATGCCATTCTTATGCATGCTACAGATTGAGAGCCACTGAGCTTGACTTCAGGAAGGAGCAAGAGGAAATAAATTATTATGTGGATATGTAGGCCTTCAAATATTCTTGCTTTTTAAAACATCTGTCAAATCCCTATCAGAGTGGGGGAGGGTAGATAATTTTAATGTGTTCCTGCTTCCTTGCATGGTTTGTTTTATTTTTACATTGAGCCTTTATTACATTAATAGATGTTTATATAATAGATATATTGTGAGTGTTAAATGAGATAATATGTAAGGAGGCATCTAGCACATGGTACATGGTTAATAAATTCAGGATTTGAATCTAAATTTTTGCTTCATTGGGCTCTCATTCACACTGTCCTTCGAAAAATTGAAGAACTAGGCCACCTGCTTCCTGTCTTTCCAAATAGGCATTTCCTGTTGTGGTTCTACTGAACATCTGTCACTCTCTATGTCCTTGAGTGTTGTTCACATTTTATCAGAGGTCAGCTAGTAAGTTAAATGGGTATATGATCTAACTCTCAGTTCTGTTACATGACCCTTCAAGTATTTGAATACTGCTATTATGTCTCTCTCTCTCTCTCTTTTTTAAATATATTTTATTGATTTTTTTACAGAGAGAAAGAAAGAGGGATAGAGTTAGAAACATCCATGAGAGAGAAACATGGATCAGCTGCCTGCT